AACATAGCCCGAATATACGAATATAGAGGGAGAGAATTAAAACATGGGTAAACAAGGCTAAAACATTAAAAACACTAAAAGATAGGACGTTTCGGGCTGTTCATTTTCAGCTGCAAAAAACACACACAAAAAAAAACACACAAAAAAAAAACACAATGAAACAACAACTCAATTTTTATTTGATTTTTTTTTCAGCTGAAAATGAGCTGGTAACAGCTCGAAACTTTTTGCCTTTTAGTGTTTTCAATGTCTTAGCCTTGTTTACCCATGTTTTAATTCTCTCCTTCTGTATCGAAACTTCAGATATGTCTCTTTTGCTCGACTCTATTTACTTTAATTTACTGAAGATTTCAGTCGAGATAAGGGATTTCAACAAGATCTACTTAAACACAGCAAAACATATACTTCAGAGGTTTCAAGCAAAATGAAGCGATTGCAAATCCGGAAAACCAAACAGTTCCCGAAACCAAAAGGAGGTGAGGATACTTTGTCAGTTGCGCTAGTCATAAAATCGTGGTTTGATTATACTAGATTATATCGATGGCCAAAGTGCGAAACCACATAACTCCCTTTTGCAACGTTTCAGACTTCTTGTCATACTTAATTATTTCATTGGAAAACTAGTCTTGCCATTGTTTCGTCGATTTTCTTACATGCCACATCTGAAACTATGAGGTTTTTAAAAAACGATATCAGAATCAAAGGAACTAATCGTAATCGCGTAACTGGCAAACCAACAGCAAACTTTGATCGAATAATTTGTTTTCAACAAGGTGTAAATTATGAACCGCAAATACTCCTCGTGTGAAAACACTATCGGCTCGGATACTTGTTTTGAAGATTGGTGTCGGGACAAAAAACCGTTGACTAGGATCCGCACTCATATTAATTATGCAAAAAACACGGACTCACCGTCCACTGCACCAGTTCCACTTGCCGTGTGAATGTCGCATCGTTTCGTCACCCTGCCGACAAAAGGACGTAACTACACTAGGAAAAACATTCGGTCATGTGAATGGAACGTCCGGTGTTCCATATTGTTCCGAATATTCGGTTTGTCGAACTGAACTTTTCTGTTTAACAAACTGATTTGTCAAACTGAACTTTCTGTTTGTCAAACTGAACTTACGGTTCGTCGAACTGAACTTTTGGTTTTTCAAACTGAACTTTCGGTTGGGGTGACCGAACTTTCGGCATATATTACCAAACTTATTTTAAAGGGGCCTGGGACTCACAAAACTTTATTTTGATGAAAAATTTCCTATCACGGTGAAACTGAAAAAATGTCTAAAGCATTACCAGACCACAAATCATCTTTTCAGATTCGGTGCGTAGTAAGAAGCTGCCACGCACCGTGCAACAACCCCTTTGAAGAGTTTTCCTCGTTTAGGAACGGGGCTAGGGTTGTGGTGAGAGGGCGGCTAATTGACTCGACACAAATCACCTTCCCCATGACTCGAAAATTAATTGATAAATCATCGGCTGAGTGGGCAAAATTCTATCATCCATCATCATAAAACGCCTGTTTTTGCCGCTCAGCGCCTCACATCTGTCCTGCGGCATCCGGGCAGATACCATCTGGACCGATTGACCCTTCAACGGCGCTCCCTTACCATAGAAGTTTCTTGGAAGCGCAGGAGTTATAACAGGTACCAAGTCAAAAACCATTATAAAAGTGGACAAAATTGGGCATTGAAATCAACCTACATTCTAGGTAAAGAACATGAGCTCGTTTTCACACACATTTTCTGGAGAGAAACTCATTGTCAGTTGGAGGCCGTTTAAACATTCATAATACGCCATTTTGCCTTCTTTTTTTCTATTTTATCGTTCCCTTCGGGGGTAGAGGAAGAATCGTTATCGTCAAAAGGAAAAGAAAATAAATAAATAAATAAATAATTGAGATTTCATCATTTTTGAGGCGCCTGAAGTCAAAATAACGATACTTGAAAAAATATCCAAGATGTGTTAAAATCTGAAAAAAAAAAAATAAAATTCTTATACTCTAAGCTGATCTGAATTCTTAAATTTTACAAGTCGACTGTAATTGTGAACTCTATATTAGTTATGAAACCTCGAGTTTTTACTTGACACCTCTTTGACCAAAAAAAAATTTTAATCAATTTTTTCCCCTCTCTTTCTCATTTAACAAGTCATTCAATTGTCTGGAGAAGAGATATGGATTTCTTTTTTAAAAAATAGAGCACATTTATAGGGAGAATATGGACAACTTGATAATTTGAAGGATAGGTTTGATCAGGTCAAAAGGGCAGCCAACCTATGAACTCGAACTATCCAGTAGTACTAATTTTCACAAATCTTACTACCCGTGGCAGGCACACTGATCAAAAATTATAAAAGCACTTATAAAAATTTGAAATCGCATACATTTTCTCAGTTTCAAAGCCTTAATCCTCAAATACGCTTGTTTACAATCCGCTGTCGGCAGAGACAAGAGACCCTCCACTGGCCTCTTGGCGACAGGTGGAAGCTTTTACTTTCGGGGATTCAACAATTCCCTGTGGACAATTATAAGGGAGCAACAGTCATCACTCTTATCTCGGCTATTGACGTACCTACAAGGTGGATGAAGAGCTTCGGGTGACGTCATGAGCCAAACAAGTTTCCTAAAATTCGGCTTGTTTTCAAAACGAAACTACCAACACGTTGCTAAACATCAACCATGTAGGTAGTTCAACAGTAGAATGCTGAAGTCCCGAAAGTAAAAGCTTCCACCATTGCCAAGATACTAGTGGAGGGTCCCTTGTCTCTGGCTGTCGGCCATATTGATTAATGTTTCAAATGCATAGGTTGGCAGCGGCAATTTTCTAATGATTCTCGTTTTACACGTTGCCGTCCTTTTGGGCCCTTATATAGAGCTACATAAGTCGAGTTGTCCACACTCTCCCTATAAAGGTACTCTAGTTAGAAAATCATAAAATTCAAAAATCACGGAACAAGATCAGAGAACTAATGATTTTTCCTTCAATTTGAATAAATTCTTTATCCTCCATAAAAACATGGTGGTAACAGGCACATAAGAGAGAACGGAGTGAAATCCATGGTCTCAGTTGGGTTCAGCTCAGACAGATGGAAGCATTTTAAGCATCGGTAATTTTAATTTCCCTCCAGAAATTGATCGTTTGTCATTTTATGGTGTAAGTTAATTTTATAGGGCTTGATCACTATGAGCAAATTAAGAAATATTTGGAAAAAATAATGGCAAAAGTTTCCGGAACAAACATAACCGGAAATTTTGTGGAAACTTAATCGGTAGAAATTGGTATGTTAACTGAATGCACACGTGTCAATTTGGTGACAACGTGCTAGTGAAAATGACAATTTTAAAATTCAATAGAATTCTTTAAGCCGATATAAAATTGTTTTCCCATCCCTGCGGGAGTAAAGATCAACCATAAAAACCAAAGAAATCTGGCCTTACTGAACCACCCTTCCTCGATATTGTTTCACCTATGAAGAAAGGCAGGGGGCTCATTCAGGGTATTGTCGAGTGTTGCCAGAAAAGTTTCTGGATTGAGGAAATTAACGCTCGGCATCCTGTTCGGGTGTTATCAAACTTCACAAAAGTAATCTGAAAAGAACCCATTAGTGCCCCGCTGCTTCTTGTGGACCAGGAAGTGCAGATGACACCCGGCTGAGACACTCATTTGCTGACGCAGGCTCTGTTTCCTGATCACCGCGATTATTCCCATTGTAATACCGTAAAATTACCACCGTAACACGTTTTTCTTCCTACCGCTATGTAATAGAGTTGTTTCATGTGTGAGGAATTTGCGATTTGCCTGTTCATTCTTAAGTTAAAGTTCGCGAGGAACACAACGAAGCCATTGGTTTTCTCTGAAATCAACTCCCAAGCTCAAAAAAAGCTCTCAAGTTGAGACCAAAATGGAGGGGATATCCCATGCTATCCTGAGAGTCCACCTCTACATCAAGACAAACTCTCCATGCAAAGATAGGGAGCAAATACATTGACAGGGCTGCCACTTTATTTGGGGACTCTAAAACTAAAAAAACGTCAACCCTGCTCATGTATTTGCTCCCTATCTTTGCATGGAGAGTTTGTCTTGATGCAGACGTGAGCTTTCAGGATAGCGTGGGATGTCCCCTCCATTTTGGCCTCGACTTGAGAGCTTTTTTTGAGCTTGGGAGTTGATTTCAGAGAAAACCAGTGGCACCATCGTGTTTCTCGCAAACTTTAAAACATGAATCGATAGTCAAATCGCAAATTCCTTACACATACAACATCTCCATTCTTCATTTAAAAAAAAAAAAAAAAAAAAAAAAAAAANAAAAAAAAAAAAAAAAAAAAAAAAAAAAAAAAAAAAAAAAAAAAAAACCTCTATGCCGAAATGGAAAGTAACCGATTGCGAAACGTGAATGATTGATTATCGATATTCCTCCATTCCAAGCTACGGTGAAGAATCGATTATTAAGGTGTTTTTTTGGCAGAATGTAAGTTCACGAAGAAAGTTAAAATTGAAGCACATCTTAAAAATCCCATCAAATTTTTTCGGAGCTCCAGTGGGCCAGAAGGAAGGGTGCCGAATTGAGATCCATTGCTGTCGTGCGGTCAAGTGTTTAAAGGAGATCGGCATCGGCCGAGAAGAGGTTGAGCTAGTGTCAGCGCGAGCTAGAAAAACCTTAGGTCCAGACATCATCGTATCGCGCCCCCAGTGTAAACCGCACCTTCCCGCGACAAACACATTTATTGAGTAAGTTGTCGGGTTTAATAGTGATTTAATATCCAATGCATGGCCACTGATAAACTGCAATCTGCAATGCGATTCACCGGAAATTAGAAGCAATCACTGTTTTACGCGTATGCGCTCATCCCATTGCATCCCAGTTATCCGATAATGAGCATCAAAGAGCTGGCCGAAGCTGCCGACATGCGGTGAAATAATGAGGAAATTTGTACTGACCCACATGCGGTTTTGCATCAGATCAGTGGAGCTTAAAGTATGAACTAGCAATGCAATTTTATAGGTCGATTATGAGTTGAGTCTCTATCCATCGCATGTCACAATGATGAGTTCGATGTTTATACCTTATTTTAATCCACAAGACCTGTCGGCCATGCTGCATTGCGCCGTTTTTATCTCTCTCGTGTGCTTTACCCTAGCTGCCTCGACAAGTACGAGTAAGACAGTAAGTTTTTCAAACCGTACGATATTCGACTTTTACTACTCGAAAACAAACATCTATGTGTTTTGTAGGAAAGCCATAATGCGCTGAAAAAAGTATAGCGTCCTCTACCATAAGTCTATTTTATGTATGACACATCGATACCGCTGAGTGAAGATAAAGTCGGTGCATACTTCACTTACCTTACAGTATCTTCAGCAATAAGATATTTTTTAACTAACTTTTGTTTTCTTAATTTTTTATAATTGTAAAAGACAAATAGTAAGTTTTAAAAGATAACTTAGCTAAAGACAAAATAGTTTCTTATTTAAAAAAATGCCCTCCCATACTGTACCTTACAGTCCATCGTTGATATAACCAAACTCATACTGATACATCAAACTCAGTAACCTTTTGTGCCATGTGATCTAAACTTAACTCTCACAAGGGGAATGGTAATGTGAGGCCAGGCATCTTCGTCAGAAAAATTAAGGTTGCGCAGTTGGTTGTGTTTAGTTTGCTTCGTCTTCAGGTTTTGAGCATTCTTATTTAGGGAGCATTTAAGTATTAAGTAACACGGCTAAAAAGAGTTTGAGATTTTGTGAATTTATTACGGTGTGTCAAATCAGAAAGGGGATGGCGTTACGTAATGATCCACATTTGAATATTACATAATTTTGGGGGTGAAAATTTTTTCAAACCACACTTTGTCCAGAAACCGATGAAAATGGAGGGGGGGGAGTCTGAGAATCCTGCCCTTCATTGATTATTATTTGAATTCTTGAAAAAAAAATCGTGAAACTTAAACTCAATGATAAAATAGAATTCGTGTTAAACATGTATCATCGCGACGCGACGTGCTTTTAGTTTCTTACTAAATAGTTACAGAACATGTCATAAAATATTTTGTTACCGATTAAATACTAAATATACCTTCAATTTCTTACTACTACTAATAAGTCGCTCTTATTATAAAAGCATTTATAGCGTTTCTGTGCGCTCTGTGACGCTAAGATGTTATTTAATTTAATCGGTCTGATAGGTGAAAAAGTACCATGTGGTCCACGAGGCTGTGGAGGTTATCAGGAATCGGCCGGAGTTTCCTTACCGGATGGTTATTCGGAAGTTCAACAAGACGATGCCCGTCATGGACGCGGATTTCTGGATCCTCTCTCCTAAAGTCAACAGCTATCAGGTGAAAAAAAGATTTTGATCCTGATCACGATCTTACTTGAGAAGCTCTAAAACATTTTACTCAATTTAGCATGCCGAGTCAAATGACTTCTTGCGAAGTTCTTAAATGGAACTGAAGGAACAATAATTTCCTTTTTTGTTTCAGCTCCGATGTTACACAGAGCAAACAGGGGCGTGGCGTGCTTTGCGATACATCGATTGATCGCCGTTTAAACGTATGGAAAAGGATCGATAAACAGGGTGTTCGAAACGAGCACCATAATAATCGATTCTTCACCATAGCTTCGAATATGGATGTATTGAAATTCTATCATTCACGTCTTGCCACTGAGAGTCAAAGTTGAATTCTACAAGTATAAGAAACCTCATTAGATCTTATTGTCGAGGTCTGAAATTAGACGTACACGGAAAAAAAAACTTCGTGCGTGGACCCGAAGTTTAGATCATATCGATCTCTGAAGTTTTCGGATCACGTATCTAAAAAATTGAGGTCTAGCTGCCGAAGTTCGGGTCAGACATTTGAAGTACTTCGATTAATACCGAAAGGTTCGGGTCACACATCTGAAGTACTCCGGTACATACCGAAGTGCCTCGATGTCTGACCCGAACTTCGGCAGCTCGACCTCAAGTTTTCGGATGCGTGATCAGAAAACTTCAGAGATCCGTATGACCTCAACTTCGGGTCCCATGCACGAAGTTTTTTCTCCGCGTAAGAAAAGCACTCATCTCAAAACTGGTGCGATAGCAAAAACCCGAAAAATTTCGTGAATAATTTTATTTGAAAAATGTAGACCTCGTTTCAAACCTCTGCTTTGTAAGCTAGAGGAAGCAACCCCTTGATTTAAAATGAATAAAAACGATTATTTTTAGAAATAAAATGTTAAATATTTGTATAATCTCTAACCTTTTCGTATTGTTCTCAGAACATTTCAAAATGGATTTTTCCGTCGCTTTGATTTCAGATGTGGGTAGAGGGATTTGAGCGGCTAGGTATGGATCATGTCTACACCAAAAGTGCGGTTAGCTTAGCCTTCCCTTTCTGCGATTTTCTCGCGGGAAAATTTATTTTCAACCGAGGTTTTAAAGACTTCGGCACTCTCCCAACATCGTGTCCTTTCAAACCGGTAAGATCAGTCTCCAACCATTCTCCTCATTTGTATATCTCAAATAAAATTTCGACACGATAGTTTTGTTCGTTCTATTTTCTTTTACTGTAACCAAAAAAACAACTTAATATCATCCGAGTTTCTGAATCGTTACGATGGGGATACATATTTTCCCTTTAATTATGGTAAAAACTAAAGCTGAAAGTAAAAATAATGACGGGCAGTCCGACAGCATTCTTACAGTCCTGTAGGCGCTAATATGCGTTCCTCGCCAACTGACCGATTGCACTGCGTTTGGCGCAATGCGAGAAGTATTCATGCAGTCTTGTAGGCGCTAATATGGGCTGTACGCCGACCGCACTGTTTGGCGCAACGCGTGAAGTATTCCTGCAGTCTTGCAGGCGCTACTATATAGGTACGTTTAACGCTGGCCGCACTGTGTTTGGCGCGATTATTCGAACTCGCTTTAGAATAATCGCGGTATCGAATAATTGAGCCTAAAAAGCCCATGCTGTGTTTCGACGTCGTAAGAGCATTCCAACGATGCCTCATTTTTTCCGATTAAGTATTTCTTCCGAGAAAAGTTAGGAAAGTTCTTTATACGCACGACCATTATTCAATGGTTTCACTTCATTTATTATCAGAAGGTAAAACATCGATGACTTGTCAACAAACGAACTTAAACTAGCGTCAACATAAAAATGCGTTTATTTTCCAACTGTTTCCTGTTTTTCCAAACGTAAATCAACTTCATTTTGAATTTGCGTATTCCTTTAGCAGATTTTAAGGTTTCTATCTTCGCAATCCTCATATATTTCCATATATTTTTCTTTTTTTTCTTTTTATTTTCATATATTTTCGGGCAATCCTGGATTACTGGCCCGTTAGTCTGTGCTACTGCGCCGTGCCTCCAAAAATTAAACGACACTGATTACACTTTACATCTGTTTAGGGAAACTATTCACTTCGGAATTGGATCATCGAGGATAAATACTTACCTCCATTAATACCGGGAAAATATTGGCGGCTCGACTTTTACCTTGGACCCGTTGGAACTCCTATTCACTCTGATGGCACTGGAAAATTCTCCTACTACTGTAAAATCGTATATGAGTGATCGCATTTTGCCTTACTTTCATATTTTGCTCACAACTTTAATGTAAACAAATTTCAAATTCTACACATACTGATACACATCTGATATCGTACCAGAGTCGTGTAGAGGGTAAGTTAGCCGGTTAGATAGGGACAATCCATAAAAAAAATCGTACAACCGCTATACTCATCCCTGTTTAAAGTGTAATAAAACTTTGAATTTGGTCCAGTAAAACCCAGAAAAATTAGAATTTTCTGAAACCACCTCTTTTTCAATCATGTCTGAAATTTTACAGCGCCAATAGCATTTAAGCTGCTGCATATGCACACTTATCATCAAAAAATGTGACCGAAAGATGGTCAGACGTCGTGCAAGGTATGGCAGATTACAATTCATAGCAAAAATATTTCACATATTTCCTTCTATAGTTACGCTATTACGCATTCTAGTACGCAAGATGAAATGACTCCTCTTGCGAAATGTTTACCTGTGCCATCGTATCGTTTTTGAAATGGGAAGCTTAAAACGACGCATATCTCTTACGCAAATTGCGAAGTTAGGAGTGAGTTATTTGAGAATTTCCTGATACCTTCATCGTGATTTTTGAGTCATTTCATATGAGAAACAACACTTCTCTTGGCTCTAGCTGAAGTTTGCACTTGGCCCATTTTTCCGACTCGAAAGTATGATAGTCTCTTGAGGAAAAACTGTCGAAATTATCATCCAAAAAATCACGTAGTGTTTACGCATTTCTTAGAATGCATGAAAACGCAAGAAGTAAAGATGAGACATTCAATTTCATAGCCACCGCCTTACTTTTGCGATGCGAATTTTCAAAATCGTTTTGTAGAGATTTTCCGTCTTATTAAACCAATTTCTCTTTTCTCTAACAATGCACAAAAGTTCGTGCATTTCCAAGTGGGACACTAAAATGACAGCGACTATGGTGTATAACATGGTTTCCGCACCTACCAGCGACCACATTGGCGCAATGCGTGAAGTATTCCGGCAGTCATGTAGGCGCCAATATGCATGCGTCTCGCGCCGACCGGCGGCCGCACTATGTTTGGCGCAATGAGTGAAGTATTCCGGCAGTCTTGTAGGCGCTAATATGCGTCTTGCGCCAACCGGCGCACAGTGGATCGAGTCAATTATAGAGGCCGGACATGAAATTATTAACACAAATTACAAATGTTGGTGTTTATTTCGTCATATTTAACAGTTCAAGGGGTGCTCAAGAAATAAAATTTTAAGAGAAAGCCAATGGAAACACTTTTGGAACCTCAAAGTCTTATATATGGACGGAGTTAACAGCGTTCACAGTTTCCAAATTTTGTCTGACTTCTCCTATTGACTTGATCCATTGTGCGGCGGCCGCACTATCTTCGGCGCAATGAGTGAAGTATTCATGTAGTCTCGTAGGCGCTAATACGCCTCTCGTGTCGACCGGCGGCCGCACACATAAAGTTTCATGAGGAAATGAAGAGGTCATTTCCGAGCGCTGGCAACACTGCCTGGAATGATCATGCATACGAGGGAGAAGAGTAAGGACTATTCGAGCGCTACTGATAAAGAGGACCACTTACATCGAGGAGAGAAGAAATTACCGGGTATCCCCGAGGGAGCGCTAGTTTCACTGTGCAAACGGTCCACCTCGAAATCTCTCCTCCCTTGCCCGAGGCGAAACAACTTTCCCGGTCCCAAGTTTGTCTTGTCCGCAGTAGACTCAAACTGATCCCCGGTCGGGCGACTTGTTGTACTCAGACTCGTCGAGTGCTGCGAGTATGAATTCTGGTCCTAGAGGAAAGAAGGGCTGGAATTGAAAATGGTAACTGGGATTTTTTCACGTATATTTTTGAACACTTGCAAGACGCAAATTCATATTTCTAGTTTAAGGCGTTATGGTATTCAAACTTCTTTCGACAAAATTAAACTATGAAGAGGAATTATGCAACTTGAAATGTAGTCAGCCTAACTACTGTCATATCTATCCAGTGCGCAGTGGTGATTCTGGAAATTTGGCATCACCGTTCTTCCTCAATTTAAATCCATTAAAAAAATCGATTTCAGGTGAGACGAGTCGCCTCATTAAGAATCGATTGTGTTACATACATTCAAGTGGAGAAAAAACAGTGTTGCTAACTTTCAAGAATCACCAATGCGCTCTGGTTAGATATAACAGTTATTAGGTCATCTACATTTCAAGTTGAATAATCCTCTTTCATATTTCATTTCGTTAACAGAAAGCTGAAAACCATAACACCTTGAGCTTAAAATGTGAACATTTCCTCTATTTTCAAGGATAGACTCATGCAATTTCAAGTTAGAATGTCACGTAGTTTCTTGGTAAATTGAAAAAAGGGGGAAAATAAATAAAAAAAAATAAATGCAAAAACGCGGGAGAAAATTAGGTGTCGCAGTTAGTTAGGTTGATTCTAGTTAAGTCCGTTAAGTTCCCGTTTGTGACGCTGTGGAGGTCCATACTGCCGTGCTAAGGAAGAACGCCGTATGAATATTCGAGAGTTGCCAAAATTCCCTTGATAAAACAATTATTGTTGACTACATTCCTGCATATTTTTCCTTGACATTCTCAGATATTTTCGATTAAGTTGCGTACAAAATTGTCTGAAAATTTTGGAAAATGATATTCGCAATTTTCCCGATCGATTCCGTTTTTATCGGAGGAAACTTGGCAACATCTGAAGGCACGTACGACGTTCTTCCTTAGCACGGCAGCGCAATACAGGAACCAATCAGATATCGACGATGTAAGTCGGCAATCACATAACTCGGTGTGCGACGTCGCAGACTTCCTGTCATACTTTATTTTTTTAACGGCAAACTACTCGACGGGGATTCTTTAAAACTGTCGTGATTTTTCTTCTCTGTGCGGAGAAAATTCTGCAAAAACTTCATGGAATGATGTCAATGTGTTCTCCTTTAGAAAAATAACATAGATGCGGAGATTTTCAGACACCGCAAACGAGATATGTGACTGCGGACTTACGCCGTCGATATGGATTCGTATTGCCTATAATGACAGTATGAAGGGACTTCAGTCTTTGCATTGCTGATCTGCCTTGGGGTCAGGCGATCCAAAGTTGATTTTAGCATTGATTTTCTTCTCAAAAATGTAAGTATAGGTCGTAGTCCATCGAGTTCGATCTATGTTTAAAGAGCCACCCTCTCGTTTTCGCTGACGGCCAAATCGGTCCGCTCCCGAGAGCCACAAACACACGCGAACGTCAAATTTCCACCTTCGGCAGGTGTCGAAGGGGGTGGAGGGGGGGTGGGGGTGGGGGGTTTGGGTAT